TGACAGGGAAAGTGCTTTACTGAGCTAATGTATTCGAGAAGCGCGGCATTAGCTTCACCGTCTTTGGCTGGAGCATCAATCTGCACTCCCACCGCCTCATCGTTCATGTCTGAATGTTTCGTGTAAATTCAGCATAATAAACAAGCATCGTAAGGTTGGTTTGATCAATTCAATCAAAATCAAACAGGAAAGTTAATAAGAAACAGAAAAATCAAGGGAAACATATGGTTACCGGTGATGGTGGCGAGCCTGGAGCCAGGCTTGGCGTGGATCGAGATGGCAACGGAAGAAGGCGATACGGAGCGGATGCAAGCTGGGTACTTGGTCGGGGACTGAGTTGACTCAGCCGAGTGGGACTTCGATTTGGTTTTCTTAGACGGGGCCATTGGTGAACGCCGTCGGCCGGAATCCGTCGGGGGTGGGGTTTGGTATCCCGAAAATCGATTGCAAGTTTAAACGCCTCTATATTAGTTGGTCCAAATTCTACTACAAATTCCTCCCACGAAAAAACGTGCGCCCACACGTGAGGGCCACTTGTTCCTGGTGGAGGGTGTAAGGTTGATGCGTGTTCCATCTTGACTATTGTAAAAGTTGGCGATAGGACACTCCTGATCTATTGGGTTCATTAGTCCCGTCTCTCTGAACGCGGAGTCCATGGTTCGTTTGGACCATTGACCGATTAGGCCCGTACCCCCTGCAAGGGGACTCGAGGAGTGGCTTCAGAATTCATGGTGAGACCCTAAATGAATACGGGGATACTACATAGTTGCCCAAAAAAATAAAAGAGAGAGAAGACACGCAGTAGTACGAATGAGAATACTCGTCTTTGTTAGATAGGAGTATATCTGAGTAGAATTCTCTCTCAGGGGAGCGATCGATTCTTTCCTGGGAAAGCTGCATTCTCTTCTAGAAGAGCTTCATTCCATCTTAGTTGGGTTGAAGTCTGTGTTTTTTGTTGATTCTTCTTTCCGTCCTTTCTTTTTTCTGTTGGGGGTGTGCTAGGGTTTCTTTTTGGGGGTTTTTATTTTGAGGGTTGCCGTTTTGGGGTCAATGGATCCTGGAGGGGCGAACATCGCCGGAGATGAAGGGGATGCAGAGGATTTAGGCAGCAAACTTCAAAATATAGACCTATCTGAATACAAAAGTTGCTTCATAGATCTCAAAGAAGATGATATCAAAATTAGTGCAGCGGAATGCAAAAGGAGTTTATTTGGTAAAGTCATTGGGGATCGCAGAGCTAGTCTTATCGGCATTCGACGCACTATGGGATCCATCTGGCAAATTTAGTACCCCATGGAGGTAAAAGAGCTCAAAACTAACTTTTTTCAGTTTACCTTTGGGAGCATTGAAGATAAACAGAAGGTTATGCTTGGCCACAATTGGGTCTTTGAGAATCAATATTTAGTTTTGGCTGAATGGGAGGAGGGACTATCTGAGAAGCATGATAAATTCACAGAGATTAAACTATGGGTTCAGGTGAATGGCATTCCGATTAATTGGCTTTGCACTGATGTGGGATTGAGAGTTGGGAATATGTTTAAGCAGACTAAGAATGTTACAGTAGTGAAAGCTGGAGGAAGCAGGGGGAGTTTTCTCAAACTCTTGGCAATTGTGGATGTTACGAAACCTTTGCCCAAAGTAGCTAATTTGAGACTAAGTAACACTCAAGTTAGAGAAAGCTTTCAGTATGTGAAATTGGTCAACACCTGTTTCTATTGCGGAATCATAGGACATCTTGAAAGAAGCTGTGCAAAATGATTTGCTGATATTGATTCAAGAGAGCACAAGGAAGGCCAATATGGGGAGTTGCTTCGAGCTGTGGAATTTTATGGGGGAAGCAGATTCAATTCAGGAACTAGCACGGGAAGTCCTTCTACAGAATCTCCCTCACAAGACCAAACTTTCAGCCATGATAATCACAATGAAGCAGGGCACAAATCAGCAGACAGTGGCACTCAAATTCCAACTATTAAGTCCACTAGTGTTGTGACTACTTCAGAACCAAACTTATCTGCTTCAAAACAAATTGTGGAACTAAAGGATCATCATATGGCTTTAATACCATCCAGTCAACCAATTCCTAATATTCCTACAGATGGTCCAACAACAATAGAGAATTTGGAGCCAATTATGGCTTCCAATGCATCTCAGGAAGCAAAGGAGACCACTGACATGGAAATACCCAGGAGGAAAGGGTGGAGAAGGAATTCAAATGCTGTAGGGAACAAGGTTGCTATTCAATCAACAGTTTTTCAAAATCCAGAAAACATTGTCTCTAAAGGGAGGAAGAGGAATATGTCAATGGTGTTGGTAGAGAAAGAGGAAATTATTCAGGAGACCATAGGATCCAAGAAGCTCAAGAGCCTAGTTGAGGTGGGGGTGGCCAGCCCTGAGTAGCCCCCAAGGGATCAATGAAGATCATCATGTGGAACTGTAGAGGGTTGGGTGGACCCTCTACAGTTGCCCAACTTAAGGAGTCTTCCAGACTCCACCATCCACATTTTGTCTTTCTATCTGAAACAAAAAAGAAAAGCCATTTTATTAAATCTGTTTGTAATAAAATAGGTTTTAAGGGGAGGTGGTATGCTGAAGATCCTAGGGGTTTGAGTGGGGGTCTTCTTGTATTATGGCATAGGGATGTATATTAAGCAATTGGTGAGTAACCACTTTTGTATTCAGATTGAGGTTGAGGGGATTGAGGGGCTCGGTTCTTTTTGGGTTATCTTTATTTATGCCAGTTCTGATAGGAATGAAAGGGTCTTGCAATGGCAATTTTTAGAAGCAGCTTGTGTTAATTGGGGTAGCAAATGGCTGTTGGGGGGAGATTGGAATGAAATATGTGATGGGAGTGAGAAGAGGGGAGGCAGGCAGAAGTCTGATAGGGAGTGTAGAGGGTTTAATGATTTTATCTCCAGGATGGGTATGCATGAGCTGCATTTGATAGGGCATAAGTTTACATGGGGTAATAATAGGGGGGATGAAGGCTATATTGAGGAAAAAATTGATAAAATCTTTGCTTCTTATGACTGTTTTGCAGATCATCCTAATGCTGAGGTTGCTAACATATTCCAAAGCTCCTCTAATCACAGAATGATGGTTTTGACTGATAAGCCAGACAACATATCTTATAAGGCCAGGAGGTTCTATTTTGACAAGAGATGGTTGCAGAGGAATGGTGTTAAAGAAGTGATACAGGAGGGATGGTAGTCTCAGCAAGAAGGAACCCCCATGTTTCAGGTTTCTGAGAAGATCAAAGCTACAAGACTTGCTCTGCTTAAATGGAGTGCTCTATTCAAAAGAGAGCAAGTTCAAAAGAAGACAGAAATCAACAACACTCTTGACATTATGAGCAGGATGGGGGCTGAAAGAGACTGGGATGAGTGGAGCAGACTGAAACAAGAGATGGATTTGGTAATTAAGGAAGAAGAAGAATATTGGGCCCAGAAGTCAAGAACCCAGTGGCTAAAGGAGGGGGACTCCAATACAAAATATTTCCATGCTTTGACTCTCCAGAGAAGGAAGCTTAATGCCATCACAAGGCTAGTGGATGACAACAACTTTGTGCTAGATAACAAGACAGCTATCACTTCTCACATTTGCTGTTTTTATGAGAAGCTGTTCAAATCTGAAGGATCAAGAGGGGCAACTGAGATCCTGCATCACATTCCACAATCTATCTCTCCAGACATGAATGAAGCCTTTATTGCCCCAATCACAGAGGAGGAGATTAAGTCAGCTTTATTCAGCTTAAATCCAGGTAAAGCACCTGGACTTGATGGCATGAGTCCTCTATTTTTTCAGAAATTCTGGAATGTCATTTCTTCTGATTTTTGCAAAGCTATTCATAGTTTCTTTGAGTCTGGGCAGCTGCTGAAAAGTTGGAATCATACCCTTATATCTCTGATTCCTAAGTGCTTAAATCCTTCCTCCATTAAAAACTACAGACCTATTAGTCTTTGTAGTGTATCATACAGAGTCATTGCCAAGATCCTGTCTCTAAGAATAAAGCCTTGTTTGCCTGCTTGTGTGAGTGAGACTCAGTCTGCTTTTATCCCCAGCAGACAACTTCTTGATAATGTTGTGATAGCTCATGAAGCTATTCACTACTTAAACAGATTGAGAACAGGCAGGAAGGGCTTCATGCTCATTAAATTGGACATGGAAAAGGCTTTTGACAGAATTGAATGGAGCAGTGTGAAGAAGGTAATGCTGAGAATGGGGTTTCATGCTTCTTTTGTCAAATGGGTGTGGGCTTGTATTTCTTCTACTTCGTTCTCTTTTAATGTTAATGGTGAGGTCCAAGGCTACTTTCGAGCTTCTAGAGGCATTAGACAAGGGGACCCCCTGTCCCCTTATATTTTCATTATCATTTTTGAGGTTTTTCCAAAGCTTTTAAATGTTGAGGTTGTCAGGGGCAATTTTAAGGGGTTGAGAATTGCTAAAAGAAGTCCAGCTGTTTCACATCTCATGTTTGCTGATGACACTCTTGTTCTTTGTGAGGCCAATCAATCTCATGCTAATACTTTACTGAGTGTGCTGTTTAAATATCAGAACTTTACTGGGCAAAAAGTGAATCTTTACAAATCCTCCATCTATTTCAGTAAGAATTGTCTGCTCTCTACTCAAAATTTGATCTGTCAGCTATTGGGAGGTATTCAAGTGCATAGATCTACCAGATACCTGGGGCTGCCACTAGGTATTGGTAGGTAAAAAAAAAAAATCATTTGATTTTGTGTTGAATGCAGTGAGAGCTAAACTTGTTAGTTGGAAGAATCAATACCTTTCATTTGCAGGCAAAGAAATCTTATTAAAGGCTGTGTTGGGGGCCTTGCCAGTATTTTCTATGTCTTGTTTCTGTTTGCCAAAGGGTATCTGCAAGGAGATTGCTAGTCTTTCTGCTGGGTTTTGGTGGGCTACTAATGATCAACATGCTGGCATTCACTGGAAGGATTGGAGAAAAGTTACATTGCCAAAAGATGCAGGAGGTTTGGGATTTAGAGATATTGCATTGTTTAATGAAGCTTTGATTCTCAGGCAGATGTGGAGAATTGTGACTAATCCCAATCTTCTGATGTCTAGAGTGCTCAAAGGTAAATATTTCCATGATTGTTCTGTCCTACAAGCAAAAAAGCCCTATAATACATCATAGCTCTGGAGTAACTGGATTTTAGTCAAAGACAAATTTCAAAGTTTCTTTCAAATTATGGTGAGAAATGGTCATGGAGTCAAAATTTGGAGGGATCCTTGGGTCCCTGGGCTGCAGCATGGAACACCAGTAAGCACTGTAGATGGTTCAAGGCAGGTTACTTGGGTGCATGAACTTATTGAGGATGATGGTAGAACTTGGAACAAAAGTAAAATTGAAGAATGTTTTCAGCCTTCTGAT